GTTCAGTTCACTCAAGATTGTCGGGAGGATTGAATATAGTAATAATGTGCCAAGCCTTTAGTAGGATCTGGTAGACAGTGAGTACTATTTTCCTCAATCTTTGCTTAAGAAAGGACAAATCTTAAAAATTCTCTGCCAGACCTGACCTCAGCTCTGTTATTTGGGCAAGCTGCCTAACCTATCTTGGCCTAGGTTTACTTGAGCATGAAACGAATGGATGGAGTTAGACCATCTCTAGTTCCCTTTGTCTCCGAAGGTGCGCTTCCCGTGTGTGCCCAGAGTCAGGGTGGATCAGACCAGTGTTAAATGACAGGATGTTAAAGACCAATGTAAGATTTCCTTGGAGGTTGTTAACACAGTGACAGAGAGATAACGATCCTCCTAATTTAGCATTAGACCAGCCGCACAGTCCCAGGCAATGGGACTGTGTTTTATTAAGTTAATAGAGGAGACTGAGTTTGTCTGAGTAATAGCATTGTTATTTGGATACCCAGCATTATTGAGCATGGGGAAAGAGAGGGTTTCCTGTTTGGAGAAAATGTGATAGTGTCCAGAGATGGTTTGTGCCAAGGACATTTGGACAATGAAGTTCTGCAGGTGCAATGAAGTCATGGTTCAGACAAGGAGTGGCCTTGAAAAAGAAATCAGAAATGCTGGAGATGTCAGATCAGGCTGTAAATGCTGGTGAAGAAAATGTGAGATCCAGGCAGGATTAGTTGAGCAAGCAAAGAAGCCCCCAGTGTCTGCGGTGTGCAAAGGCCTCGGTGTCTGCCTATTTCCCCATGTGGATTGAATGCAGCTTTGGGGCAGGCTAGAACTTAAGGATCGGGTGCTGCTATCTTCATTATGCTTCTTTTGCCTGGTTTATATTTGTGCTGGAGGATAAGCTATAGAAAGCCTACTTTTACTCTATAAGGATCCATTGCTTCATTTATATAATTCTTCCTTCTTTCTGTTTTTCAGGGTTTGGAGAACACAGACACTGGCTTGCACAAATCTGATTTGGATAAAATTAGAACAAACTGGAACCATTTTTTTTTTCCCAGTTGGAACTGAACCCACACCAACACATCATCTTAAAGCCCAGCAGCGCTGCTGACCCTGTACAGCTTCTGGAAGTTTTCATTTGGTCTTTGAGTTCTTATTTGGTCTGATAGCTTTCAAAATGCTCCACTGCCATTGAGGGAAACTTTATCATATGTGTGAGGGGTGGTTTATGAAAGATGCAAAGGTTTGGGGAAGCAATTGGTGAAAGAGCTTCAGGAATACAGCTCCCCTGCAGACTAGCTAGAGGTTACAGGCACAGCCCGGAAGCCAGCCCATGACTCAGTCCTCTTTCCCCATTTCATCCATGTTACCTGGATGGAAGTGGACCACCCAGGATGTTAGGTAAGGGTTAGGCTAGGCTTCCGAGCTCCCCAAGACCCTTCTGACAGTTTGACAAGTTTGAAGCAAGTGGCAAATGATCCCACCTCCTGCTGAACTATTGAAGTGGAAAGGAGTTTAGTTTTTTTTTTTTTAGAGTTTTCTTTTTCAAAGTTTTCCAAGTGGACAGTGAGATGCAAATCGAAGGGGAAAGTGGTTCCTCTTCCCTCAGCTCTGGAGGAAAGAAATGGAACTCAAGAATTTGATTAAGAACTTAGCAATAAGAAATCAAGCAGTAGAAAAGCATATAACCTGGCTAAGTAGCTGGATCTTTTCCTAAAATTCTGAGTGGGGGCAGAGAGAGAGAGAGAGAGAGAGAGAGAGAGAGAGAGAGAGAGAGAGAGAGAGAGAGAAACACAGAGAGAGACAGAGACAGAGACAGAGACACAGAGACAGAGAGACACACACACAGAGTAAGGAAAACCTGTGCTCTAGGGACTTTGGCAAATCCAGCACTTTCAACCCTCTCAGCTTGGTACATCCACTGTTATCATGGGTTGCATTTTTCTTTATCCAGAGAAGAGGATAAAGAGTAGCTCCTACACTTTTTTTTTTTTTTTTTTTTCCTACCGGTGCTTTAAAAAGAGCTCTTTGAAAAGATTGTATAATGACCCTTTGTCCCTTAATCTACAGCTCTGTTCGGAGACTGGATTTTCAAAGCATGAACGTGTTTAGGTTTGTTTGGTTTGGCATAGAGCTCGCTGGCAGCCTGGCTTCTTCCAGTTTGTCAATGGGCAGCCTGCAGGGAGCTGTTGGGTTCCCATGTGGAAGGAAAGAGAATGCCAGGTATCCCACCACCGTATCAGCAGTGGAGTTAGGGCCTTGTTCGTGAGGGGTAAGGTGGATTTGAATGTTTTCTCTACACTTTCCATTCTTGTACAAATAAATCTACTTTACAAATCCATCTTGGGAGCAGGGAAACTCCACTGTTTCCTACCCCTGTGATGGTTCACCCCTTTCCATGGGCGGCTAGATTTTTGTGAGCGCCACCTTGTGGTCACTCTGAGCAAGAATCCCTTCCAGCTGTTCATAAAAGCCAGCAATTTTCACCCATTTGTCATCCCTGTGGCCACTTCTTCACATCTGACCTCTTTACCTTCCAGAAGTAACCATGGAAAACATGATTTTAATATGTTGGGAAAACATATCTTTATAGGACAGAGCATGCAAAGAGCAGGAACTGCCTGGCTCTTGGTTCCAAACAACAAATCTATTGCGACCATTGGTAGTTGTTTTCTGTCCTTGTTGGCTTTTCTTTTCTTTTCTTTCCTTTCTTTTCTTGTGGTGTAATTATCTATCCTAATGTGTTTGAAATTAGGCTTCCTTCTGGGATGGTTCCACTTTTATTCCTTCTGAGTCTATCATGGGAATATTCAATGTGCTTAGGGTGCGTGCTTTATTTATTCAGTTATTTATGGTATTAAGGCTAGAACCCAGCACCTTAAACCTGCTAGACAAACACATTACTACTAAGCTGCAACCCAGGTACTGTGGTGGGCACTTTCTGACTATAACTTCCTACATTCTCTTGGATAAGCACAGGTGCTTGAATGGATGAAATAAGAAGGAGTTAGTTAAGAAGCTCAGGAATAGCTTCTCAGTGAAGTTCAGTGAAGACACAAACCGTGTTCAGAAGCTTTAAGTCAACTTGATCACTGTCCTTGGAAAGACAGTAGAACACAGTCTCCTAAACTGGCTTAAAAAAAACTCACAAGAAAGTCACTGTACTTAATGAAAGGAATCTATGAATCATTTTATAGAGGGTCAAAAGAACTGATCTGTGAAGTCTCTTTCTTGCTTTAAAATTCTTTAAAATGAATCTAGGCAATGTTTCTGATACTATTTATAAAAATGTTCCATAGGGTGAAACTATTCCAGTGGAAGGCAGGTTTTGATTTCTACTGATATTTCTTGACTTTCATCCGAAATGTTGACATACAATCTTGTTTCATTTCAGTTCCTCTGATGAGATGGGCCGTACTGACACACCTAGGTCTGGCTCTGCTTTTATAGACACAAGCGGTTCAGCCTCTTCTTGGTGTTATCTTTTTCTGTAGTGTGTGTGTGTGTGTGTGTGTGTGTGTGTGTGTGTGTATGTGTGTGTGTGTGTGTGTGTGTGTGTGTGTGTGTGTGTGACTTTTCCTTTTCTTCCCTTCCCTTCTTTTCACCTTCCTTCCTTTCTGGAGAATTTTCATTATTTAATTATGCTCTCTCATCAATGTCAATTTCTATTCTAATTTTTACACCATAGATTGGCATCATTGACTGTTAAAACCAAAGGGAAGTTCGAATTTATTCTGGTCTAGTCTTTCCTTCACTAGGCAAAGAAACTGAAGTCCAGAGGGATAAAACAACCTACCCAGAGTCATGTAGCTGGCAAAATTGCAGCTCTGGGCCTGTACCTCAGCTCTCAAGTAATGTATTCAGTATATTTCCTACTCTTCATGGTTGGCCCACTCTCTAGTTAAATTTTATTCAATTAATAAACTTCTCTTTCTTCCTCCTCGCTTCTTGAAGCTCATGGTGAATTGAGAAATGAAAATGCCTTCTGTATCTTCTTGTTCTGAATATGCTGGTCATACTTCTATTACAGCACCGTAGCAGAGCACCAGGCCCGTGGAGCCTGCTAACGGGAGGGTGCCTACAGAAAATGTCAAGCAGACTCCATCCTCACCGCACTAAGAGCGTATGACACATAGCTTAAGGGACTGTCTCATCCTGGCTTTCAAAGCTTGGTTTGAATGTAGAGTGGTTTCTTGTAGAAAATTTGACAACTCACCAGTAACTGAAGGTCCAAGATACCCCACACTATACAGAACTGGGCCTGGGGGAAGGGGCAAGAGCAGAGAGGGGGGTGGAGACTTGGACATGGGTTTGGGCAGATGCTGGAAGGGCGGCTGAAGCTGCCATTGGATTTGGAGGAGCCAAAAGGTCCCAGCTGCTGAGGTCCCTAGCTCTCCAGAGCTTACCCATCCAATCAAGCTGGCGGAGACAGCACATCTCATCCTGTGAGAGACGGGTCCACCGCCCTTCCCTCTCACCTTTGGATTCCTAGATGTAATTTCCTCTGGCACTTGTCATTTTTCCTTTCCAAAGCTGAATAATATAAGAAGATGGAGAAACGTTTCTCAGGATCTCACCTCAGAAAGGGCTCATTTCTCTTTCACACTGAATCAGAACAAAATAAAGCGAAACGAAACAACTAGCCCAGACATTATAGTTCCTCCTAGGACTGCGAGTTGGAAGAACGGCTGGCTGTTCATCTAACTGTACCTTCTGTCTCTCACTAAGGCCTATGCATCAGGAGAGCCTGGCTGACGATGGAAATAAGGCTTTCCGCTTGCAAGTCACAAAACAAAACCCATGATAAATCAGATCAGAAATTGCAACTGGGGAGGATCTATTTCTTACGTGAACTGTCATTTCTATGGGAGGTGCCCTAATTTCTTACTTTTCTGTCCCTTGCTCAATTCATGACTCCAAAGTGCTAAAAGAAAAAAAAAAGTAATTTCCCCCCCTTTCACCATCAAGGAGAGTTACTGACTGGCCGGATAGTTAGAAGAGTGACTGAAACCCTAGGTCACGTAGCCACTGTGTAACCCAAGACCAGGATCAAACAGTATCTGCCTTGAGAATGAGATTTCAACCCAATAGGAACTAAGGGTGAATAAAATTTGGTGAAGGACTGATGGGTTGGGTTGGAAAAGGTAGGAACCACAGAGGATGAGAATCTTTGGCCCATCGCAAAGGACTTGGGTTGTTGATCTCTTCCTCCTTTTTAATGGGAAGTTGTTGGCCAAGTCCTGTGGCTGAGGTTTCTTCTCTGGGCTGGTGTGATTGATCACCTGGCCCTCGAAGGCTTGTGATGAGATCACAAATACCGGGAAGGCATGTGCCTGTCACCATAACCCTCAGCAGTCCACAGCTTCCCTCCTTTCCTCCTAGATGGGAAAGGAGGGGTTAGTTAGGGATGACTGTGGAGGAGGGAGAAGGCAGTCCCAGAACCAGGCTCCACGGCAGCAGAAACTATGAGCAGATGGATGGGAGTCAGCTGATGATCTCTGCGACGCCCCTGCCTTCCTTCCAACACTCTTAATATGTATGTTGCCAAGCACATGACTATTGCCTCCCCCGCTTGTCTCATATTATAAAATACAAACAAAGGACAGAAAAGATCGTTTGGTTCCCGGCTGCCCACTGCTCAGAACTGTAAGGCCCGCCGTTTCCTCCCTGCTGAGACACGGTGGTTGTAGGGTCGCATCTTCATTTCCACAAAGGGGATGGAGAACTCGTGGCCTTTCCAATGGTACCAGTTGATTCCCTGGGTACAAGAAAGAGGCACAAGTCAGATCACCCCTCCCTCTCTGCAGAATTCTCTACTTGAAAAGAAAGGGAATGACTGGAGCATGAAATCCAACATGCCAACGTAGTTACCGACAACTAAAGAGTAGTTTTGTGGCTGAGTTCCCAATAAGGAGAATGGAGCCTAGTCCCTTCCCAGTATTCTCCTTCAACTAGCCCAGGATCTGAGTCTTTACTGGGAACATGTTACCAGCTTTGCCTATTTTGGCCTTCAGTTGTGGAATGGAGTAGTGGTGAATTTCAAAATCTCCAATGAAGAGGACATCTGTTTGATTTCTCGCTCCTGAAAGAGGAGACTTGCATAGCTTTCACCTGAAATGTTCAATCATCTGGAGGTGTCTGACATAAGGGGCTTTTCTGGATTTGGCCTTCTGCTGCTCAATATGGGAAAGTCCCTGTGGGTCCAGCCGGCTCCCTGTCACCCGGCCTAGTCTGTGAATCGATTTGCATTCTTTTGGGGAAATAGAGTCTCTTTACTTGGCTATTTCTGAACCGGGGCCTGGTTTTCTCCTTGGGGAGCAGCCTGTGAAGCACTTCCCAGAACTGATGAGCTCTTCCCATGAGAAATAGCAGTGGACACTCCTGATGGCCAAGGCCTCTCCCGCTGAGGTCTTCCTCCCAGTGGAAGCGTTTTCCCTTCTTTCCCTGGGCTTCCTCCCCGTCCTGGGCGTGCCACAGCATTTGTACAGCTGTTCTCTCTAGAATAGATTGTTCTCAAAGTACTTTTTTTTTTTTTTTTAAAGGAAAATGTAGGCCCCACATGAACACTGCAGCATGAAGCTGAGGGTTCTGTGCACCTACCTGACTGTGCCGGGACTCCCCATACTTCCCGTTGAGGTTGGTCCGGTGGCAGTTCTTATACCACCAAGCGCCTTTGTACGACATGGCGCAGTTGGTGACTGCCACGTCGTTGTCTCTGTCCTCTGTGGAGAAAGGGCGCCCCTGGTGGTAGCTGAGGGAGTCTCCTGCAAAGAAGAACATCCATGGGAGTTCCACCTGGGACAGAATTGTAAAAGATCCGGCGTTCACAGGATCCCCTCCCAGGGAATATGGTGACCGCACCCAGGACCTCTGCTTAACACCCCTGTCCTGCTCAGCTCCTCGGCCTGGCTGCGCTGACCGTATCCTCGCTTTACTCTGTGTGATCAATATCTACATGCTGCTCTCTTCAAACCACCTCTTCTTCCCCAGCCTTTTGCTGAGAGCAAGGTTGCACACAACCACTCTCAATACCCTCAGATGTTTCCCAGGCCCTCCACGAAACACAGAACACTCATGGTTCCTCTCTCCTCCCCTGGAGACAGAAACTAGCCATGCTGACTTGGGTCATTCGGGGTCTCCACTGTGGGCACAGCCTGGCTTTCACCCAACATCACCAACCCTATCTCCAAACCCACATTAAGAACGTGGTGCCCTTGTGAAGAAGGAAAGGAGCCAAGTAGAGGTTCCATCAACAGGAAACAAGATGCTGAACACATCATAGCCAGGCCAAAGGAGACGTGCATCTTGGGGAACAGTGGACTTGGAGAGGGGAGACCAAGTCTGTGATCACGACTGCCAAACATCTGACAGGCTACTGAGGAAAAATACCATTAAATGCACATGGTGGAGCCAGGTGCTGGTGAGTCACACCTGCAATCCTAGCTACTCAGGAGGCTGAGATCTGAGGTTCGCCTTTCAAAACCAGGCAAGTCTATGAGGCTTTTATCTCCAATTAGCCACTAGGAAACCAGAAGTGACGTTGTGGCTCAAGTGGTAGAGTGCTCACCTTGAGCTGAAGAGCTCAGGGACAGCGCCCAGGCCCAGAGTTCAAGCCCCAAGACCGACAAAAATAAATAAGTAAATAATAAACAAACATGGTGGATAAGAATGAGCATTGGTAGGAGGAGAATGTAAAGAGGCCTATCTTAGTTCAAGAGACGAAGAGAAATCAGCTACACCAAAAGTGGTGTAGGCTGCCCTGAGCTCAGCGAGGGGGACTTGTGCTCTCAGATGGACCCGGGGCCGGTGCACTTCTGCTGGAGACGTTGTGCAGGGTTTCGTACAAATTGACCATTTGACCATCATTCATGTGTAAGGATTTGTGGTTAGGAATGTTGCCAAGGGAACTTATACTACTTATGGGATGAACGTTATCTTAGCTGCATCCGAGGTTCATTTCCCCAGGAGGGGCATTGTCAGGGGCTTTGGAGCTATACCCACAGTGGCCACTGGGTGTCTCTAATGCATCCCAACAAGACTCCTGACTGGATCATCTTTCTTTATGTATGTGTTTATTCTTGGGCTCTCTCTGCGTGCACACACCAGTCTTGGGGCTTGAACTCAGGGCTTGGGCTCTGTCCCTGAGCTTAGCTTTTTTTTTTTTTTCTCTCAAGGCTAGCACTCTACCACACGAGCCACACAGCTCCACTTCTGCCTTTTTGGTAGCCCATTGGAGCCAACATTCTCATGGACTTTTCTGCCCAGCCTGGCTTTGAACTGCACCCCTCAGAGCTCAGTTTCCTGATTAGTTAGGATTACAGGCACGAGCCACTACACCCAGTGGACCATCTTTATTTTAGAGGGAAGCCTCCCCTTCCCGTCCAACGGGAAGTAGTTTCAGCAGCATAGTATTGTCTCTCCACTACCCTCTTCATTTTGTCTGTCCAGCCTCAAAGGATTCAGGTTTTGTGTCTGTCTAGAATTAACTTCATCACGGGGAACATATTCTTTGTCCTCTTTTCCTGGTCCTGGACAAGAGAGGAAGGAATCCTTACTCTTATTTTTCCCTTCCCATTTCTTAGCATTTTCACTTCCTCTTTATCTTAAATCATACTCATGTCTTTTGTCTGAAAAAAATTATTGGATTAATCTCCCGGCATAATTAGTAACCCTTTCTTTACTTTTTAGTTGTTCATGTTGTCTCTGCCCACAGCTCTATCTTCTCCATCCTGCTTCTTCTTCTGAATTCTAGAATTTATTCTTCTTACTCTCCTGGAGCAATTTTCTCCAGCTTCGACTTTGATGTTGCTTGCTGCTGTCACAGACATGATCCGCAGGTAACTCTATGTCTTTCCCCTCGTAGTTCCCCTCCCCCTTTCTGCCTCATATATTCCTCTCAAACCTTTAATGCATTAACTAAATCATGCATTTCTCTCATGACCACCATCTAGATTTATACCTTTCCCTTAATCCTGACACTGGCCAAGGCTCCTATTATCTTCTATTGGGATGAATACCACAGCCACCAGCTGGTCGCAGCTCTTTATCAGATTTACTTTATCCTGTTTGGGGTTGTCTAACTGATGTTCCTAAAACTCCACTTCCACAATAACCCTCCGGATTGGCAAGGCTCTCCACGCCTACTATGTCAAGATCAACTTCTTCTACTCCTTGGTGTCCAGGCTGTCTAGGACTTGGCTCCTCCTCCTCCAAGCTCTTTCTATTCCCTCGGAGCTCACTCTCTGTATAGGTTTGCTGGCCTGTCACACTCTCCTCCCTCCAATTGGGATCCAATTCAAATGAGCCACCTTCACGGGCCTCCTCAAGCTCCCAGACACCCTTCACTGAGCACCCTTCCATGGGAAGTGGGTGCTATTTATTGCATAGAGAGTTACTTCTCAGTGGTTCTATCCAGAACCACCATTGAGTGAGGTTAGCTAGATTTGGGGCAGCCTAAATAACCCCAGATTTTCCTCTTCTGAAGAAGATGGACCCACTATTCCAGGTGAGGAATGAATCATAATTAATTTCTAATGATCAGCCAACCTGTTGGCAGGATTTGCCTCTGACACATGAAAGCTGAATACAGTCCAACAGTTCTTCCCTCGGCAGGCCCCCCCTGCCAGGGAATAAGGCTGGAAGAGAGAGAGGCAGCAGGGACTGGGCCCAGGATAGACAAAGTGTGGGCCTGAAGGGAGAAGAATAAAGAAGAGGAGCAGGGGAAAGCTTGCTTCTTCTATTCCTGCAGTGAAACAGGGATGGCTCTTCTTCAGGTGTAACTCTAATCTAGGCAGTGAATAGCATCCGGTTATTTTCTCAATGATTCAGTCTGACATCTCGTTTAATACGTCCATTTCAATGACTATTTTATGCTCAAATTGGACCTTTTCTTGGGGAGCCTCAGGCTTGTCTGATTGCCTTTACCAGTGATCTCGAATATGAACAATAGCAAAGAAGCGTGTGTCTTCTCTTTGGAATAACAATACCTGGCCAAGAAAAGAAATAATTGAGCAGCTGCAGTAATTGGAAGGGCAGCACCTTGGAGTTCTTCTTAATTCTAAGAAGGCACCAGAAATGCTACTAAAATTAAACGCCAGTACTTAGCCCTCCATTTGGAGTAGTGAAAGGGCCAATAATGCCATGTACCAAACAGTAGAGTATCTGGCACAAGAGGCGTTATGAAATGGGTCTTAAGGGAATGCAAGAACTAGAAGGGCAGAGCCCAGCAGCAGCATGGACGGAGAACCGTGATTGCGAAGAGCTGACAGAGGGGGCGCTCTTCTGCTCGGTAGAGGTGATCCCGGTAAGGATGGTGGGCTGAGGGAGCATCTCAGAAGATGGGCAATCTGTATTATTTTCCTTAGTCCAAAGATGGTTTTCCTAGATGCCATTGCAAGAGAGATTTCTACCCAGAGGGGAGATGGTTCTGCTCTCACTGCATTTAGATAAGAAAAGGAACCCTTTGTTTTCACATTTATTTTTTAACGTTAAGGGCAGTCGCATGTCACTGATTGCATTGTTTTTCTGACTAGTCTGTGAAGGGGAAAGATACTGTTACTACAATTTTCCAGATGAGCAAACAGAAGTCTTGAGACATTGATGTCAGGTCCCCGTGACTGGTGAGGAGGACAAGAGCCATTGGATCCCCAGCTCCCTGTCCCTCCTCCCTGGGTAGCAGAGGAACACAGCATAGCTCGTGCCTGGAACACGGGCTCCTTGTCCTGCTTCATGCCCACCACCCTCGGGTCTGCTCGGGACCCGCAGGTACCTGCAGTGCCGTTGTAGCCTCCTATGCGGAGTTTGTACAGGTTTCTGCTGTCCTCCACAGAGAACTTGTCATAGTGGGCGAAGACCGCCTCCTGTCCATCCCGCATGTCCACACGGAGCTCGTAGCGGCCCTGGGATGTGATCCTGTGTATGTTATCCAGCCCTGTGGAGAAGAGCAGAGCGTGTGCTGAGCCTGGTCCCCAGCAGCTTTGGAAATGGGAGGGGGAAAAAACAGATGTTAAAGGGAAGGAGCAGCCAGGGAGAGGTAATCTAGATTTGCCTTTGCTCTCAATCCACCTCAGGTTGTTCTTAGAGAGACTCTGTCAGAGTCCAAAGTTTCTCCTGCAAAAAGGCCCAGCCCTAGTCTGCTGAAGAGTGCTACCAGACATTCTAGGTCCTTACATCTGGGCTTGATCCAGTAACTGATAGACCCTGAGCCTCAGGTTACCTGACTTTATTCACCATCTCTCCTGAGAACAAGACAAGGGTATGAATCCTTTGATGTAAGTGGAAGAAAGCAAGAAGTAGGATCACAGGGGAGAACTTCCAGGTATCCTAGGGATCCAGGCACCCCTACGCTTCTGAGTATTCTCTGGGGAAACTCTGCCTTTCATTCCACTCTTCTTCCTTCTTTCATTCCACTCATCTTCCTTTTGTCTCCCTCCAGGAGGCTCCAAGAGCCAGGGCAGAGCATACTGATATTTCGAGACTTCCATGATTCAACTTTCTTCAAGAATTTCCAACTTTAAGATGGTCTGAAGGTTATGTGCATCATAGAAAGTGCACTTTGAATTTTAATCTTTCCCTGGTTTATCAATTACTGGGCAACACCTTCTCCTGGTCCTGTGAGTGACAACTAGCACGTAAGCACAGGTGTAAATGACTGTACTCTACACCGTACTGCACTGCGAAGTATGATGCTTGGTAAGCTATGTGTGTTAAATGCATTTTCAACCTAACAGCATTTCAGTGTATAATGGGTTTATTGGGATGCAGCCTTTAACATAAATTGAAGGGCACCTGTATTGTCCTCTGCTTTGTGACTCTGATTGCTTTCTGTCTGATGCACCTACCACACTTTATAATCTTTACTGGTCTTTCTGTGAAGTTATTCCTACTCAGGTGTCTTCTGCCTGGCCCCTAAGCAGGCTGTGGGCTAATAGATTTTATAAGGTACAAACTCCTGTAAGTCCAGAGTTTGAGTGCTAGAGCCCAGACATCCCTTGGTGATATTTTCTCTTATGTTTTGAGTGCTAGAGCCCAGACATCCCTTGGTGATATTTTCTCTTATGTATTTTCAAACCTGCTTTTCTGAGACTCCGAGTCTGTCCTGGTTGCCTAAACTTTGAACAAATCTCCTTGTGCTGCTGAGGATCGGGATCTTTCTGATGTTTCTGTGTTTAGTGAGCCTGGCTCTTCTTGCCTTGCTCTAGTATCTGAGTGGGCCACAGTTTAGAATAAGAAAACCGCAACAGTGGAAGGGAATTTAGAGATTATGTAGGCCCACTCTTTGTTTTGTAGAAGAGGAAGCTGTGTCCAGAGAAGTAAAACGATTGTCTAGGGGGTCATCCAGATCTTTTGGCCTCGTTAGTCTTCTCAGCACATGAAGTTTTGCCTTGATTGTAAAAGGAGGGCTGTTGACTGCTATCTTGAAGCTGTTGACCCATAGCCTGCCCTGGATTGCTCTTGTGCAGATGGAATGCTTGCTGGTGAAATCATGTCTGGAGGCCTTTAATCAGCAGGTGGATCCATCCTGCCAGGAGCAGAGCTGCCAGCAATTCACAGCCTTTCATAACCTTGACCAAGTGGTGTCACTTCAGCCTTCCTTCCCAGACGCCTTTGGGCAGACTGTATCTCCAGCCAAGACCCATTTAATCTTCCACCTTCCTAGTCAGAGGACCTCCCTGAATAACTCATTTGAATAAGAGCTCCCTGCAGGAAGCCACTTGGGATTTCCCATCATTATTGGAAATCATTTGTTACTTGAACAAGAATCCTAATTTCCAGTTCTGTTTCTAAAACTTCAACAGGACATGCTTCGTGGGTCATAAGGTTATCCCAAACTTGAGTATTACTTCTGAGCTACACACGACCAGACTTAGCTCGGTTCAAGAGCTCTTACTGGCTCTGTATTACTTGTAACATCAAGAGTTCTCTTTTCAACTTTCTTTTAAGTTCCATAATGTGTCTTTATTCAACCAACCTAACCTCATGTTCTGATTTGTACCTTTTCTCCGGGGACAGGGAGGATTCTTGACTTTCTTCCTTTACTATCTCCATCCCTCTTCTATTCTCCCAAGATCCCTCACTGTCTCTACCATGGGTCAGCTGTCTTCCCTCCTTGGTACCTGCCTTTTTCTCAGTAGCTCATAGGTTAGGCTGGGTGTTTCCCAGTGTGGGTGGTATCTCTGATGTTCTGAGAAATATGTGGGAATGAGCCACTAAATAACTTTCAATGAACAAGAAAAGCACTTCTGGAAGTCTATTTCAGTTTTCCTTAATATGTGAACGAGAAACCGTAACTCTAACCTCAACCTTACTTCTCAGTGTCAGCTTGGTTCTTATTTAGCATCTGACACGTTCTGATCTCTGTTTTCATTCAGCAGCAGCAGCAGCAGAGACAGCAGTGGGCTTAGAGCCCATGTGTTAAAATGTAGTTTAATCATATTCCCATTGCTTTCTTTCCATTGCTTTTATTTTTGAGACAATCTTTTGATTTATAGCACATAATAACTAGTTTTTTTCATTTTTGGTCAGATAAAATTTCATTAAACATAGATTTAATTAAATAAAAAAATAAGTGGTGATCACTGATATATTTTACAAAATACGACAAAAATTGTAAAATTGGTACTCAGTTTGGAAGCAAGTCTTGTCTGTTTATGGATACCTTGGCTCTGTGGTGTGTGTGTGTGTGTGTGTGTGTGTGTGTGTGTGTGTGTGTGTGTTGGCAGAACCAGGGATCCAGGGATTGAACTCAGGCCTTGCATTTGCTACGCAAGTGCTATACCAATTGACTAATACTCCTCCCAACCATTTTTGCTTTAGTTATTTTTTTGGACAGGGTCTTAGGTTTTTGTCCAGAACTGGCCATGGACCACAGTTCTTCTAACTATTTTTCTTGTACAGCTAGGATGACAGATATATACCACTATGCCCAGCTTATTTACTGAGATGAGGGTCTCCCTAGCTATTTTCCCGGGCTGGTCTCAAACCGTAATCCTTCTGATTGCTGTCTCCTGAATACCTGTCATTATTGGCATGAGCCACTGTAACTGGCCTTCACTTATATTTTTATTAGCTTCATTGACAAACACAGGTTTGTTTATCTGGTAAGAATTCAAGAAGTTCTTATGATTGATTGGCCTCAGCTATCTATGATCCCCTGGGCACTACAACAGACAGCAGTATTTAAAAGATGAATACGATGTAGTTCCTGCCCTGAAAGAAGTTTACACAGTGCAGTTGAGGGAGATAAAGTCAACTAGACCAAGCTTTGGACCACAAGATTATGGCCAGTTTCCCCACAGGCAGTAGGCTGAGAAAACTGATTAAGATATGTTCTGGGGAGGAAGATACGTATCTGAGAATCTGAGTATATGTAAGTGGGTTATTGATAGAGAGGGGGAAAGGGGACAATTAGCTGGGAGAACGTTTCTTGCAGAGATACATCAGTGTGTCTCCATGTTTGGACTTCAGCAGAGGATAAGCAGGTGAGGTTCTTAATGGTGGAGAGCTGGGTGTAGTGGGAGTAGAGAGGCCTTGTACCTTGGCCAAGGGTTTGGTATTCACCTGGTAATGGTACAAAGTCATCAAATGGCTTTACAGGAGTCTGAGGAGTATTATTCTAGTGGTTGGGTGGGTAATGGGGTGGTTAGAGGCCTTGTTGGCAGGGAGCTTGGTTAGAGGTTTGTTACTGGGAGTGCAGGAGAAGCCGATGAGACTTAGATAAGAGGGTGGTGTGTGTGTGGGGGGGGGTAGTATCGAGAGGCGAGCATTTGGAGCATGATCATTTCGCCTTTCCCTCCACCTCTTTTTATCAGTTACTTTGAAAGTCTCACTAAGAAGGAGAGGGAAGCTGGGTGCTGGTACTTGCAGGCTCAGGCCTGTAATTCTAGCTATTCAGGAGGCTGAGATTTGGGGATAACAGTTTGACACTAGCCCAGACAGAAAAGTCCATGAGACTCTTTTTTTTTTTCCCCAGGGCTGAGGACTGAACCCAGGGCCTTGCACGTGCCGGGCGGGCGCCCTTCCGCTGGGCTAACCCCCCAGCCCCTCCATGAGACTCTTATCTCCGACAAACCAGCCAAAAGCCACACGTGGAGCTGTGACTCCCATGGTAGAGTGCTAGCCTTGAGCACAAAAGCTAAGGGACAGTGCCCAGGCCTTGAGTACTGACACAAAAGAAAACAAAAGGAGAGGGCAGTGCAGGTGGTCATACTGACTGCTTTCTGGATTGGCTCCACTGCTGCCGGGCTTGGGTTACCTACACACACCAGCTCAGTGCTCCATCTAAACCTCCAGCCATGTCAGAGCTCTAGGAAATTGCCCATCACCTCTAATGCCAGTGTCATTTCCCCCCCTTTCCTTCCCAAGTCAGATAATGACACTCTCCCAGGAACTGAGCACAGTGACTGGCCTCATTTGTCGCCTGACCTGCAGGCCGGTTGGCTGGTTGCCTGGCTTCTGAGAGAGGTGCAGCCTTCCTGCTGCTCCCCGAAACCCTTCCCTACCAGGCAGCACACTGATTTTGTAGTTGCTTCACATCAAGCCCCATCAGCATACGAGACTATTAATGAGGATGGGAAGAGACAGAGCAAAGAGGAAAACATCAGAATGAGATAAAAACAGATCAATCCTGGAGCCACACAGAGCAAGAGGTATTGCAAGCAATTCACAAGCTGTCAACCGCTCAGTGCAAACCGGGTCCCTGATATTCCCAGATGGGGACAGAAAAGGGATGGGCAAAAAGAAAAGCCAGATCAACCCGCCGACGGAAAGACAAACCAGACGTTACCTAGCCAGAACTCATCTTCCAGGTTCCCAAAGCCAGCACGGTAGTCGGCCCATTTGCGGAAAAAGTCAGTCTGGCCATTTTGTCGCCTTTGAAATACCTGTGAGGAGAAAGGAGACCATGAGGACAGATGCCCAGGACAAGAAATGATAATACACAAACTGGATGTAACCAGGTCTGTCCCAACAACAACAACGATACCCAGATGAGGAGCATATCCCAACCGGAGCTGGGTATTTACAGAGCAGTTTCTGCAGGGGTGCTGGCGGCCCTTCTCTGGAAGGGCAGAATGCCCCCTGGGGAAGAGGCTGAGGGGGTGTGATGTTGATGCTAATTTGCAGCCTGCAATGTAGAAGAGGATTTCAGATACAGATTAGACTCCCAAACCCGTCAGGGGAAATAAGTTGGACTCTCAAATTAGTCTCCGGCAGCATAAAGAGTAGCAGAAAGCGTTCCTCACCAAAGGAACAGGACCCACTTCCAATCACCCAGTCACTGTCCGCTGTCACCCTTTTATTGCAGGCAAAGCGACTGCCAACCATTCACATCTCGGCTGCTGTTCAAGTGCTAATTTCATCTAACCTCCAATACATCAGCCTCGGCTTCAACTTCCAATTATATTTTAAGAAGGAGGCACAGGTATGTAGGAAACATCAAAGACAATGTGTCCCAAGAGTAGCTGTCAGGAGCACAGCCACCAGTGAACAATTCAAAAACAGCCCTCCCTGCACCAGGCCAAATCCGGGAGGGGGAAATGTGTGCAGGCGGGCGGAGGGTTGGGTCTCCATCCCACATGGAGCCTGCTGGGCTGCCTCAGGCTCAGGTTGGGGAGCTCTGACGTTCACACAGCGGCCTTCTTGACAGCTGGAGCATTGGTCCTTTCTTTCACTCTGCACTGCCCTGTCATGGCTGGGGTGGAGGAGAGTTGCTTGTCAGCGAGGGGTAGCTCTCTTTTCCTAGTCATTGCTACTCCCTGGAGTCTACAGCTGCTCTAGGGAAGAACCAGCAGTCCAGAGAAAGATAAGGACAGAGCTAGCCTGTAGACGAACCTCTGCCCTTTATCCCACCTCTCCGGGCAGCTCTCCAATCACATTCATCTCCCACAGGAGGGCTCCTCTGCTGCCTTATGATAGGTTGAGACCTGAGCTGGAGGGATCTCTGGGCCTGTCTGAGCCTCCACTACCTTTCCTCAATCCCTGTATGTATTCACTCTCCTTGGAGGAGCAGGAGGGAAAGCAGAAGCCATCTTGGGGCCTTTCTCTGAGCCAGGCTACTGCAATGTCCATATGCTTCATTCTGGAGACATCTATGATTGGGCTGCTGGGCTGCTGAAGGCAGTGAGGATGGAAGGAAGGATGACGGGCAGGGTGATGACATTCAGATGGACCGGTGCTGAGCTGGGCAGACTGGCGCCTGGGGATGTGGGCGTGCGAGGAGAGCGGCGGCACCTACTTACAATCCAGCCGCCCCCATCCGTGGTCATGTCGCAGTACACCTGCAACTTCTGGCTTCGCTCTCCATTGAGGAAGATGGTGTAAACCCCACTCAGAGTGTCTCCATTCATCAAATGTTGGGCACAATCTTGAGGATGAGAGAACACTCGGCCCCCTGTACGGGAAAAGAAGTAAGTTCAAGACAAGATCCTTCCTTCCACTACATGTCTCTAGAGCCCCTTGGATCACAGAAGGTTTTAAAGAATCTTGGGGTTGGTACATCACCAAGCACTGTAACGAATTCTTTTTTGCTGTTGTTGATGGTTGTGGGGCTTGAACTCTGGACTTGGCACTGTCCCTCAGCTCTTCATTTCAAGGCGAGCGATCTACCACTTGAGCCACAGCGCCACTTTTGGTTTTCTAGTGGTTTATTGGAGACAAGAGTCTCACGGACTTTCTTGCCCAGGCTGGCTTTGAACCACAATCCTCAGATCTCAGCCTCCTGAGTAACTAGGATTATAAGTGTGAGCCACTGGCGCCCAGCTTGTAACGAATTCTTGATGGATCTAAACAGTGAGTGTGTGCTGACTTTACATTATCTCATATATTTCCTTGTGAACTGATGCCAGGTTTTTTTTTTTGCCAGTCCTGGGGCTTGAACTTGGGCCTAGGCACTGTCCCTAAGCCTCCTTTGTTCAAGGCTAGCACTCTACCACTTGAGCCACAGTGCCAATTCCAGCTTTTTTTTTTTTCTGTTTATGTGGTACTGAGGAATCGAACCCAGAGCTTCATGTATGCTAGGCAAGCACTCTACCACTAAGCCACATTCCCAGCCCCCTTCCCCCCCATGCCAGATTTATCAGACAATAGATAGTTTTATGGAATCTGAGGACCAAAGAGCTGGATTCACAGGCTGGCTTGCCTACTTACATATTTTCTTGACCGGAGGCAAACAGTTTGGCCTCCTTAAGTATTGGTGTGTTTATTAGTGAAACAAAAATCGGTGTAATGAAAGTCTCCTCCTTTACAAGGTGAAGATGTATCAATCCTTCTAGGGATGCTTGCTTACTCAGGAGTTGGTGACAGATACACTGGCTGGAAAATCACTGCAGCATACACCTTTCATGTACACATGTGTGCACATATGTATATATATGTATGGATGGATATATGTGCCTGTGAATGCTATGCTGGGAATTGAACCCAGGGCCTTTGCTTATATCTGACAAAAGGCCTGTCAGCAAAGCCTCTGTGGTCTTCATTTATGGCAGTCATTCCGGAAAACAAGCTCAGCATTAGCCCCAAGATGAATATCTATTCCCTGTATAAAATAATCTCCCAATTGTTCTAAACAATCAAACGGCCATGTTTTACAGTTCAGTTTAAGTTTAAGGAGAGGGCAAGGGAAGCAAATTGCAGCTCATCTTTCAGAGAGAACAGCCCAATTTGTAGAACAATATCTAATTAGCTGAAAGAGAAGCTTAAATCATGTGTCTTGAAGAGCTGAGCTTCGGGATACATTTGAAATTTGAATGCTAAGCAGGAAGCAGAGCAGCAGAGTCCACTGGAGGGGCTGATGGGACTTCAGGGCCTGTGGTACAAGTAAAAGGCACAGCTGGCTGTGCCAGGACTGGTATTTGGGTGCTCTGGAAATATGATGATCTTTGGGGCCAACACAGAACATGGCGCTGTTGATGATGTTCTGTGTCTGAACTGTGGCAGCAGCGGAGACACTGGGGAGGGGCTTTAGGTGGCAGGCACTACAGTGCCCCCTACTGGCAGAACTAGTGTCCTACACCCTGGTCACCAGTGAAGCATTCTTTGTTAGGCAGAAGTTGATGGAAGGTGGTAGACTTCACCCAAGGTCCTTCTGACAAAGTACTGCCTGACAGCAGTGACTGTCCCCTACTTGCTGCTGTAGCACCATCTCAGTAGTTTGGAGCAAAGACACTGCCTACTTCAAGTGTGGTCACATACTTTATGTTTCCATAAAACCTTCATTTCTTGCCTCACTCAATTCCCATGAGGGCAGATTGGTACAGATCAGAGACTCATTTCACAAAACTGCATGAAAGATCTTACTCATGTCTCCAGAACTCAAGTTTCAGATCCCAAGTCACATGTTCTAGTTGTCTCCACTAAGATAGGGAAATCATCTGGGCTATCTATCCTCATCCATCTATGCAGTGAAGGATTAATTGACATTGCACGCATAGGCACGCAGACCTCCAATAGTTAACTCACCAAACAAAGAGTGTATGTTCTGGCTCTATGAACTGATTTCCTTCATAGCTGCAGGAAAGCTGTTAAGTTTCATCTCTGGCACACCCTAAAACTCTCTGAAGTTCCTGATCTTTCTTGAAGGTACTGTTTTCATTTCAGAGGACAGTCGTGGTCTGGGAACACTGACATCATGCCCTAGCTACTCCGCACCCTGCTCTCTGGATCCACCTGTACACACACCTCCTTTCCCCCAATCTCTCACCGCCTGAGTGTCTCACTTTACATTTGTACATAATTTAGTCTTCAGTGCTCCCCTACCTTATGCATGGGTACCCCATTCTCCTGGAGGAAGATTTTCTTCATCAAGTCATCTCCACATCTTAAAGGAGTCAGAACCCCAAACTTCTTCCCAATAACCTAGATGTCTGTCACAACACCCCAGCTTGAAAACATCCATGTTATTGAAATACATACAGAAAAAGAAAGCAAACTTTCAGAACAGGGAAATAAATTTTTTTTTATGGCCCTCTTCACATTAATGATGATGAGTTAATATTTATGTTATAGATACATTTAAAAGGCTCACACATATAGCCTTGAGCTGAAGAGCTGAGGGACAGCGCCCAGGCCCAGAGTTCAGGCCCCACGATGAGACCAAAAAAAAAAAAAAAAAGGCTCACACATACCAGTTGCCTTATAAAAGCCAAACCTATTGCAAGTTGAGATGACTTACCCTGGAGAAGGAGAACTCTACATACCATCTGAGTAATTGTCATATAAAAGGAGAGTTCACTTTAAAATCAGGAAATGGGAATAAGATCAAGTTCAGAAAAAAATGTGTGGTCTAAGGAGTTCCGAAGGCTGCATGGGTTCAAAGGTCTCGGATGGTGCCCTGTGAGAAGCTTTCTTTCTTCTAAGCCCCTGAAGTAAGTGGGTTGATGGAGATGTTCACCAAGTGTGCGTTAGCCTGATGCACGATTGGGTGCACTTGTCTTTGCCCTTGGCAAATTGCAAGGCCATCTGGTTGTTTATTGATTCCATTTACTGTCATTTAGTCAGTGGCGTTTGTGGAAAGATATTCAACAATCCTTTTGCTTTTTACAGACTACAAGGATCAGCAAATGGGTTTTGAACATCCTGGGAACTTGAAGAAGTCACAGTTACCATGAAAGAACTCCTCTCCAGCCCACTCCTCAACATTGCCAAAGTTTTGCCTCACACTGGCAAATCCCTCCCTCTCAAATTACTCAAATCACTGCCTCTCACCAGTCAAGAGAAAACAGAGGATCACTAATAAGGATCAAGTGGAGGATTCTATCAAAATTCAGATCCCTGTGTCCCACTACAGATCTCCTGAATAGAATGTCCAGTGGGTAGGGCCTAGAAATCGGGTGTCTTATCGAAGTTCCTTAAATGAGTCTAAGAACCAGCTGGGATTGAATCCCACTATTTGGGTTGTATTTCTCTTCTCACAAAGGATAAGATGTGGAACTGGCAGACAGTGCCCAGGAGCCCTGCAGTCTGCCTTCTCTGCCCAGATCCATATGACTGGGTGGAAATTAACTGAACCAACCTCTGTTTCTTTGTCTCTGTCTTCTCTTTCCTTCTTCCACATTTCCCTTTCTTTCTCTCTCCTTTTCCTTCACATTCTTTATGCCAGTAGATATATCTCAAATGGTCTCAAGATTTAGATGGAATGTGGTGGGAAGAAGAGGGATATCTGGCCTTGAGTTCAACCCTTGTGTTCCTCTTTTTACCATTCCTTTCTTCTTGACGGATGGCTAACAATGAAGAACATATTTATTTGCACCCTTTGAGTTCAGTGTGTACATTCTGAATTTCATATGTTTTAGGAGATTGTCAGAGGAGATTTCAGGTGTCATGGCTGTCTGGATGGCATATGATTTAACATCATCAAAAAGTCATCCGTGGGGCTGGGAAGGTGGCTCAGTGGTAGAGCGCTTGCCTTGCATGCATGAGGCCTTGGGTTCAATTCCTCAGCACCACATAAATAAAAAAGAAAAAAGCCGGAAGTGGCGCTGTGGCTCAAGTGGTAGAGCGCTAGCCTTGAGCTGAACAGCTGAGGGACAGCACCCAGACTCAGAGTTCAGGGCCCACGACTGGACCCTCCCCCCCCCAAAAAAAAAAGTCATCCTTAATCCTAACACAGATCGTCTAGTAATTTTTCTAATAGAAATTTTTACCAACAAGAGCATGACTAGAAATATTTTCTTCCCTTTGATACTATAACTTGAGTTTGGCCGATGAAGAAATATTTTTTTTTTTAAGTACAGGCTGTGGCAACAACCATGTTAAAAGGAAATCCACACCAAGTGATCGTACACTTAAATGTCTCATGGTTAAGTGTTTCTAGATGTAATTGTGAGATCAACAAGACCAGGGCACTGACTGGAAGAATTGCTCAGAAATTGGTTTGTGTGTTGAGCATCGGAGGCTGAATGCCGAGTGGACTGCAGCTAGCTACGTGACTCACAGTGCAAGTAGATGGACTCCCACCAGCTGGGAGTGGAAGAGGAGACTTTCCAGCCCCTTCCCTGTCTTTACTTGTTTTACATCCTTGGGTACAGTCTTTAAAGTGGTCAGACTTAGCAGCTCTAGAGAGCACCCACCTGCTTCTCACTTGAATGGCCTGAGCATGAGGACTATAACCATGATATCAATGTTTTTCTTTGAGGACCGCCTCACCAGGTCCTGCACCAAATGCAGAGGTTGCTCCACACAATCACAGGCAACTTCCTCTGTCCACTACCACTTTGATTGTTTTTGCTCTCACGGAAGTGGATTTGTGTTTGACTCTCACCTAGTCCTCTATGTTAAAATGAATGACCCTTATATGAAAAGTAGCCCACAATTAGATTGTTGGGGACAATCTGTGTCCACGGAGAGTTACAAGTTCAGCCCCCGTGAACTGAATCTACCATGGTAGTTTTT